CTGGCAGCAGCTACCTAGAGCCGGGGCAAGCTGCAGCCAGGAGGCTCCAAACAGCTGTGCTGGGCTCTGGCATCTATTCAGTACTGGCACGTGCACCTATGCATCAGAGCGGGCAGTGGGGGAGGGGCCTGAGGCAGCACAGCCCCAGTCTCTTCCCTGCTCCTGGCATGGAGGTACTGCGCCAGGCTCCACAGCTCCGGCATCAGCTCCATGCTGGCGGCAACTGCACAGGCACCTCGGGGCAGGCTGTGCTGCCCTGCTGTCCACTCCAAGGTGTGCACTCAGTCACTGCCAGCATGGAGCTGATGCCAGAGCAGGGGGACCTGGCCGCTGCTGCAGCGGCCCAGAGCCCAGGCTAGCTGCAAACAGCTGCGCCAGACTCTGGAACCCTGCTATCACCTCCATGCCGGGACTGTGCTTTGGGTGGGGAGCAAGGGGCAGCAGGGCCAGGGGGCAGGGGCTTTGGGTGGGGGCCAAGGGGCACAAGTAGGACATCCTGCTATGCACCTCTTGCCCTCATTTTGTTTTTCTGGCATGCTGGCAGTCTGGCACCTTCCAAGGTAGGCATTGTGGTGTTTTGCAGCACTCCGGCCAAAAAACGTTGCCTACCCCTGTTGTAGATGTTCAATTTTTAGAATGTAATCTGGTATTTTTCTGGTTTCTGAAATGGCAAAACCCCTTACTGAAGGGAGTACTTGCAGGGGCAAAGGGAGGGAATTCTGGGGGCAAAGGTCAGGGGTTAGGGGGTGGGACTTCTGGTCACAAGATGGCAACTAGTGGACAGGGGCCCTGTTAAGGGGCAGGGCTACCCACGTGGCCCTTGACAGCTTGCCAAAACTCAGTAAGTGGCCCTCAGCCTGAAATAATTGCCTGTCCCTGGGCTAAGGAGCCTATAGCTCAAGAGAGGTTAGGACTAGTGCTGGGAGCCTGTCTAGCTGGAGACCAAGGGGGCCAAGGAGCCCATAGCCCAGGAGGGGCAAGGACTGGGGCTAGGAGCCTGTAACTCAGGAAGGGCATGTGTTAGCATGTTGTCTGCAAGGAATGGAAGTGGATATTGGGGAGGATGGAGCCCACATAATTGGCCCTTAAGGTAATGACCATGGACACCTGTGCTCATGACAGTGAGACCCAGCTTGGGAAGCCCTAGGGCAGCCTCCCATTCCTTAAAAGTTAATAACATCAAGGCATGGCAAGAAAGTGAAGGGGACATTGCCCAAGGAGAGTCACAGGTTGACAAGGGCTGAATGGAGCATCGCAACCACTCTGGCTCAGACACTTGCTACACTCAAGCCAAGATGGGAACAACTGGAGTGTTCGCCAGCTACTTCTTACTGTGAGCAGGTGGGTGGGGAGGGGTAGGAATTGGTAGTAACACTGGCACACCCCAACCCATTGTCCAGAATAGCTGGGCACATACCCAGAGAGTTGCACTTGGTGTCACAGTTCATTTTTTGGCCTGGTCATGCAGTGCCCCAGCCCTTCCTAAAGCCAGACAGTAATGTCTAGCACTATAGTTTCAGGATTCAGAATGGCAGTGCCCAAAAATACAAGCATTCAGGGAGCAACTTTTCATGAATGTCACATAATACCCAAGTGTAAAGTTTCCAGCATGTACTTCAGAAAGGGGCAAGACAGTGGTCTCTTTATTACTTAGTCTGGGAAACAATCCAGAAGCATAAGCTCTGGATTTGCACTGTGGACTAAATACATGCTTGGTGTAACACCCCTGCTTTTATAGTATACCTGCAGTTATTAATGTATTAAATGAATGCCTAGTACTGGGTGCAGGGTTCTAGGGGCTGTATGTAAGAGAGTCTCTGACCCAAAGAGTTTGCAGCCTAAGCCAGTCTAGGCAGACAACAAAGTAGTATAAAACAGTTGAATCATTTTATTATCTAATGTGCCTGTGCTTTACAAGCCTAATTCCGATACAGAGCTTTAACTTTGTCCCTGTTCAAAAATTCTTTAAAAAATCCTTTTTGAGGAATTTAGGCAGAGGTTAATAGTAGCTTTACTTTGAAATCTACTTATGTTTTACATAACATCAAAGCCAGCCTGTTTGGATTAGACTGCTGGTTATGCCTCCACCTTGCGTGGACATGACAAACAAGATCTGTTCTTGAAGGCCAGAGC